ATTATGTCAGTGCTCAATTTTCAGATTAGTGATGCTCACCTGTATCATTATAAACATATGCTATACATATACTGAAACTCAGTAATTATGTAAATGGGTAACAGTTGGATGGAGAGGTTATAGGTAAATAAAAGGTAAGAATGATTCATGATGGGGCTGGAGAGATGGCTCTGCTGTTAAGAACATTTACTGCCCTTGGAGAGGACCCAGGTTCGGTTCCCAGCACCCACATGCAGCTCACAACTGCCTATAACTCTAGTTCTAATGCCCTCTTCTGGCCTCTGTGGCACATAGTGCACAAAAACTCACATAGGCCAGCTGGGGCTACAGGGAAACCCTGTCTCAAAAAGATCACAAAAAGTCAACATCTAGTCTCTACAAGCACACATGCAAGTATATAAACCCTCATACACGTGCAGGCATGCATATACCACACACATACAAATATATTAGTACTGAGGGGCTGGAGAGATGGCTCAGCAGTTAAGAGCACTGACTGCTCTTACAGAGGACCCGGGTTCGATTCCCAAGCACCCACATGACAGCTACAAACCATCGTTAACTCCAATTCCAGAGGAATCTGAAGCCCTCTTCTGACTTCCGTGGCACTGCACGACACAGGTACACTCACATACAGGCAGGCAATACACTCATACACATAAAATAAAAATAAAATACTTTTAAAAAAATTAGTATTGAATCATAAGCTAAGAACAAAATAAATATCCATGAGTCAAAACTACACTGCTACAAATGATTAAGCTGGACATGGTAGTGCATGCCTTTAATCTCAATGTTCCGGAGACAGAGGCAGGTGGGCAGATCTCTGAGTTCCAGGCCAGCCAGGGTTACATAGTGAGACTGTCTCCAAAAAAAAGAGGGAGTGGGGAATCAAATAAATACATCAGAGTAGAAATCATTAGAAATCTCTGGTGCATGGTACAGGCAATTCCAAATAATTTATGTAGACACTGTACTATCAAGAAGGAACAGTTGGGCTAGAGAGATGGCTCAGTGGTTAAGAACACTGATTGTTCTTGCAGAAGACCCAGGTTCGAATCCCAGTACCCATATGGCAGCTAACAACTGCCAGTAACTCCTGTCCCAGGGGATCCAATAGCCTCTTCTGACCTCCTCGGGCACTGCACGACACAGGTGCACTTACCTAAAAGCAGACAATACACACATACATGAAATTAAAAAAAAAAAGGAACTGTTAACTCTTTGGATGTGGGCTATAGAATTACTTTACATAGGAGAAACTCACTTCACCAAGTGAACAAAGTCAATATAGAAAGTCATAAATCATAAATCATGGTAATGAAACATACTCTTGATATAATGTAATGAAAAATGGTATTTTATCTTTGTGATTTTGAAAACATATAATCCTAGCCTAAGCATGGAAAAAAAAAAAAATCAGCTGGGCCTGGTGGCACAGGCCTGTAGTCCCAGCACTCAGGAGGCAGAGGCAGGAGAATCTCTGTGAGTTCAAGGCCAGCTTGGTCTCCATAGTGAGTTCAAGGCCAGCTTGGTCTCCATAGTGAGTTCCAGGCCACCAGGGGCTGTAAGGAAACCCTGTCTCAAAAAGACCAAAAAAAATAAAAATAAAAATAAAATCAACTAAGGGACATTCAACAAAATACCCAACAAGGACATATCAAAATTATCTCTCATCAAAAATAATAAAATCTGAGAGACATGACTTCTAAATGTAATGTTGTATGCTGGGTAACATGGGGGGAGCTGGAGAAATGGCTCAGTCAGTGGTTAAGACCTTGTGCCAAAGACCCAAGTTCAATTCCTAGCACCCATGTCAAGCAGCTCATAATCACCAGTAATTCCAGCTCCAGGGGAATCAATCATCCTCTTCTGGCCTCTGCAGGTGCCTGCACCCACATGCACATACCCCACCACCACCACCACCTACAAATATAGACATAATTTTTTTAGCCGGGTGTGGTGGCACATGCCTGTAGTCCCAGCACTTGGGAGGCAGAGGCAGGAGGATCTCTGTGAGTTCAAGGCCAGCCTGGTTTACATAGTGAGTTCCAGGCCAGCTGGGGCTGTAGGGGTACCCTGCCTCAAAAAGACCAAACAAACCAAAAAAACTCAAATATACACATAATTTTTTAAAAACCCAGGAATAGGACATTAGGTAAAAATAGGGCAACCTCAATAAAACCTTAACATATTTATTTAGAAAAGGTTAAAAATCTAAGTGGAGTCATTACTAAGCATTCTAAGTTTTTCTAAGGCTACTGAGGGGAATAACAAGTGAATTTCAGTCTCCTGTTTTCAATCATCATCACATAGCTGCTTCATATGCACATAAAGAAATTGCCTAGCTGGGCATGGCAGCACACACCTTTAATCCCAGCACTCAAGAGGCAGAGGCAGGTGGATCTTGTGAGTTCAAGGCCAGCCTGGTCTACATAGTGAGTTCCAGGACAGCTTGGGCTATAGGGAGACCCTGTCTCAAAAAAACCAAAAA